GGTGAAAGTAGCGCGGCCCACTGTCCCAGGCGACCTTGTAGCGCATTGGATCTAAATAACCAAGCCAGTGTAGAATGCCGCGTCAGCACTCGGATTGGTCTCCCAACTACAGTATTATAGTTGAGATACAGGACCGCAACAATGCCAACACCTCTTTCTTCGCGACCCCGTAATTTAATTCATTGGACTTCAATGTCCGGCTCGCGAATATCACTGGATAGTAGATCTGATCATGTTCTTGCATCAATGCACCGGAGATCGCCCACTCACTGGCATATACGACCACCACAGCTTGCTGATTCGGATCGAAGTGACGTAGGATCGGCGTCTTCGCGATCTTCTCATTTAGCACCTTGAAGGATCTGTGAGCATGGATCCACCGGGGATCCAGATCTGCAAAGTTGTCCTTTTCGGGGTTCGATACCTTCACGCAGTCAGGCATCGGATCCCGTGACACTAGGTTTGGATCTTGCTTGCTAAGTTTGGGATCCGGATCCGAGGGTTGCGGACTTGTCGGATCCTTAGTCGACAAGTCCGGATCCGGGGATTCCGACGCTAGTGCTAGCTGGATCTCGCTTCGATTCATGCCCTTCTCCATCGCGGCATAGTCGATCTCTCTCAACTCATATAGTACAGACCGTAGATCGCATAATCCTCGATGAAGCGACTATAATAGTTCAGGCTGCCCAAAAAGGATTGCATGGCACGCAGGGATCCGGGAAACTCGAGATCCGTCAACGCCGACAGATCCTTCGGATTCGCCTCCAGTCCATTGTGCGATACCTTGTGACCGAGATATTCCACCTTGGGCATGTCCCAGAAACTCTTGACAACGCTGATCGACAAGTTCCATTTGTCGCACGCCTCCAGAAGATCTTCGACTCGGTCACATAGCTGATTCCAATCTTCTGCTGGTACTAAGATGTCGTCGATATAGGATCTGCGTCCTAACACCGATGGTTTGCCCAGATCTTCAGGTTCTCCGGCCTCAAATACATCCAGACGCCCCAGGTCACCTGCCATTTTCGGGATCCGGGTGAACCCATACAGGGCGTTGTCGATCATCCGCTGGTAAATCTGCGGCGCATTCTTCATCCCAAAAGGCATCCGATTCCACTCGAAAAGTCCAAATGGGGTAATAAAGGCCGAGATCAGGCGGGCCCGATCCGTCATCTTCACAATCCAAAAACCACTAGCCATGTCAAGTGAGCAATACCATAGATTCGAGATCCTCCAGTAGATCGTTGATCAGCGGCATCGGGTAAACTATCAGCTGTGTCAGACTGTTAACCAACCGATAATCAATGCACAATCGTATATCCACACCATTCTTCTTGATGGTCACGACGATCGGCTATGCCCATGGAGATCTTGAGTGGTTGATCATCTTAGCTGACAGGAGACCTTTGATCAACTCTGCCAATTTCTCTCGGAACTGGATCCGCAGCCTACAGCACTTAAGCGCGATCGGCCGAGCTCCTCCCACATCAATATCACACAC